GGAGCATGTTAAGAGGCATGTATCTATTTCTAATCCTGCCCTTCTCTACGCACCTGATCTGAACAGTACGAGGTCATTCTTGAGACAACTAATGTCCTTCCAGCACCAGGGTACGAGTGATGTAGATGGGAACAAGACCTTTAAAACGGCATCTCCTGATTACCTACAGACCACTGGATGGATAGACATCCTATTGAGCTGGTACCAGTGAGGTGTCAAGGGAAGACCACTTATCAGATGTTTGCCTGACATCTGCAGGCAAATGTTACTATCACAGTCTTTTTACAATAGCAGTCTGCCTCAGAGACACCAGCTAACTGCTAACCAACAACAAATCTTTTGACAACAAATTTGCTGAACTTCTTTTTCACTTGCTACATATACTCAGGAGACTATGTTCGGAAATATCTTTTTCAAACTATTGAAAAAATTAACCACATATTTCATTAATTAGACTTTCTTAGTATGTATGTGTATGTGCATGTGTGTGTACACATGTGGGTGCAAATACAGGTGTATGTGTATGTGAATACACCTGTGTGTGTATGTGCATGTGGGGATCAAAGGACATCCTTGGGTGTTGTTCTTCAACTGATATCCATCTTTTGGTTTTGAGACAGGGTCTTTTATTGGCTTGGCAATCACCAAGTAGGATAGGCTGGGTAACCGGCAAGTGCTTAGGGATGCACGTGTCTCTGCCTTTCCTGATTATAAGCATATGCCACCATGCCCAGTTTTTTGAAACATGGTTTCTGGGGCTCAAATTCAAGTCCTTGTGCTTGCAAAGCAAACACTTTTGCCTCTGCTTCCTGAGTGCTAGGATTAAAGGTGTGTGCGACCGCACTGGGTTCCCTTATCTCTCTCTCTCTCTCTCTCTTTTTTTTGTCTTAATTTTTTTCATCTAAGTTAAGCTTTCTGTTGTTGTCTTTGATTCACAATGGCATGTTGGCCAAGGAAGGGCCTGGTGTAACTGAGAAATACCTGACCATTTTCAACCTAGCCGACAGGGGCTAGACACCCAGTACACAGCATTCTGACCACAGGAGGCTCACAGTGCAGTCTTGTCATGTGTAGCTGAAGCATATTATTTAGAGAAAAACTTAGTATATGAATCACAAAATGTAGAGAACAGGCAAAAGTGAAAGACATCATTAGGGTAAGAGGGATCTGTTTCACAGAAGGCTATGTCCCCCAATTAAGGACTTTAAATGTCACAACGTCAAATCTGTATTGGTGGGGAGGAGCTCTGGAAAACAGAATCCCTAAACTGTTGAATGCTAAAGTCAACTGGCAATGGCCAGAGGTGAGACTAAATCATCCCTGCTAAAAATTACAATGTAAGTCTGTGGAAAGGGAAGATTATTTTCTGCCTGCTGTGAGTTTGGTTTACCTCACACTTTGAGGGGCCCGTTAGCCAAGGAGTAAGAAGGCCAGTTTTGCAAGCTCCTGGGAAGCTCTGACACAAGGCATTGATAGCTTGCCTAGCCCAGCTATTGGAGGACAGTACATACCATCCTGCTGCACATACTGGCCATGCCTCAAGGGATCCTATCAGCTCAAGTTTAGCAATGTGGACTAGTGAGGCAGCACGGGTAAAATGGACATAGGGGCTGGGCTGCTTATTGGTTAACAGTTGGCTGGCTTCTCTGAGGCACACTATTCCAGTAAAGAGAGGGTGACAGTAACAGAACCTGGGAGGGGTTGAGAGGATGCAAATAAATAATGTGGATAAATGTTATAATTGGGGACACAGCAGTTACGTGGGGAGCACCATGGTAATGGTGGTGGGTACACTGGCTCTGGTGGTGAGTGTGATGGCTGTGGTGGTGGGCACGTGGTTATGGTGGCAGGTACGATGAACGATTAGCTCTGACCATTTCATTATTATTCCTCTCCTTGATGGCGTACCAGCCTTAGGAAGTTTCACCCATACTAAGCTTTCTTCTTACTTCACTTCCTGTTGTCTGGAAAGCAGAGGGTGGTCACTCCTTTCCATCCACTACACTCTGGGATGAACACTCCCCTACTGGGCATGGCCAACAGTGAGGGGTAGGCGGCAGCTTTCACTCTTCCCCATCCTGGCTCCAGCTCTCATCTCCTCACAGTTAACAGTTCCCTTCCAGACTCACCTAAGTTCATGTTCAGTGCAACCAATGAAGCCGGTTTCAGCCTCAATGGAAAGAGCTTTTATGGTATTTCCAACCATAGGAAGGACAGGATAATTAGGTTACCACATGTGAAACATTTCCCCAACTAACTTACAGACTTTCCTTAAGTTAATCTTGAGAATTTTCCATGAGATAAGCATGTACCAGTCATTTTTCTCCCACCTCACATTGTGTAATGTCATAGCACATCTGAACTAGGATAGTCTGTCTTCTTAATATGTAAACTAGTAATTTCAAAAACTTAAAATTAAACTTTCTTGGGTAGTGTGCTTTGAATCGCTTCTTTCTTAAATGTATTCAGTTAATAGGCAATGCCTCTACTTGGTTCCTATGCGTGGTTTCACAGACAAGATCCTGTACAGTGTCCAACTTGAAGTCACCGGGAAGCATTATAAAAGGTCAATGTGTGGATCATGTTTGGGAGGCCTGGGGTAGAGAGAGGAGGCTCCTTAAATGGAGAGGCCAGCTCTAGCCAATTTTAGAATGGCTCAACATTAAGATGGATGGTTCCAAAGTCCTGTGCCTCTGCTGGAAATTAAAAACCCATGGAATAACTGATTGTGATTAATTTTCAGTACTTAGCCATGTGAAGCCAAATGAGCGACTTTAAAACAAAGCTATTGATCTGACTTTGGAATTGAGAAGACAAACTAATCAGACTCCACAGTCTTTTTTGCAATGATAGATGATAAGAAGTTAGTATTATTATCATTATGATTTTGGTATTATTATTATCACTATTATTTTGGTCACGGGTTCCTAAGTTTTAACTGGGCAACACCTGATATATCTGGATACTAAAATATTTTTTTCCTAGCAAACACCTGACTCCTGTCTATACAGGAGTTGTCCAATTTTGTCCTGGGTGGGAGTTTGATGGGGATAAAGGCAGGGTGGGGAGCAGTAGTAGAGGGAAGGACATTTAGAGACCTTCCTGTGTGATCACTTCTCAAAGGTAAAGAAGACGATTCAGAGAGGTTACAAAGTTCCACCCAGGCCCACAGCCTTCTACTCTCCACGCAGGTAAATCTGTCCTTAAAGCCCATTCCTCTTCCTCAGACACTCCCTGGTAAGGTGAGGTGAGACAGCATTCTGGGCACAGAGAACGAACCAAGGGGCTGACAGGTTGTCACAGCTGTTCTGTGGCAGCTGCTGACATCCATTTCCTGGTTTCTTCCCAAGGAATTTTCTCATCTTTCTTGTTCTCCCTGGCAAGGGAGGAAAAAGGTGACAGGTTCCTAACAGCCCTTTCTACAAAGGCTTTTTGGAAGGCAGGGAAATCACACCTCTCCTCTCAGCCCCAGCTTCCCAGGAAGAGAAGTCCTGTGTTGCTAAATTTGGGCTGGCATGCTTTTTCCCGAAGACATGGAACTGTTGCCAGTTCTGGGGTCAGAGTTTGGGTGAGGAGAGGCCATCCATCTTAGGATTGACAACCTGACCTCTCCTGCCTGTGGGTCCTGCCTTTTCTGACCTGGGAATTCTCTGCTTTCATCCAATTTTAAGTAGCTTGCAGCATCAGCATCCCCCTTTATTTCCGGTGATACCTCCTGGAATCACCTTCCTCTCCCGCAAGGCGGAGGGGATCCTTCTAACCCACTGCTAGCTTCTCCTGGGTCAGGTGAAAAGGAAGGTAAAGCGGTAACTTACATACTTTCCTTTATGTATAAAGGGCCATTTTAACACATTCATTTATTCATTTATTTGGCATTCATTCCTTCTGCTGGAATAAGGCACAGGAAACCTTTGACAATGTAATTTTTAAAAAAAATTTTCCAAAGGATGCTCAACTAATCCTATTCTCTTAGCATTCTGAGACAGAACTGTACCATTATAATTATTTTTTGTACAATTAGGAGAGGGGAAGTCACTCCCAAGTTAGAGCTATCAACTCCTTTATTTTACAAAAGAGAAAACTGAGGCTCTGAGAGCCAGAGACTTGCCCAAGGTCACGTGGCTAATTAGTGGGTAGGACTGATTCTCGTACTGACACAAGTTTACTATGCTTTATGGCTTCCTCTTCAGGCTTTCCCCAAACCAAGGGCAGCTAGAGGTGTAGGTGCCGCTGAGGACAATCAAACTGTTTTCTAACACAATCCAACTTTCCTGTGAATGACTCTAACATGATCCCTCAGTGACTTTCCCCCAGAAAGCAGTTCTCCTAGTTAGAGAGCACTAGAAAATCCAGGACACAGGAAGACAGTCTTAGGTGGTTTTTTGTTGTTGTTGTTGTTTCTACATAAGGTGTACAGGATGGGATTTCAGGGAGGGAGCCCATCTTTTCATTCCCCATCACTTTAAGGCTACTGTTTAAAGTTTGAATTTAAGGCTGAGATGAAGATCCCAGTAGAACCAACAACGGCTTGACTTTGCCAGGCTGTCTGCAATTCCCCCTTGTCCTGTGCCAAGGTCCTTTTCTGCTTCTGGGTAATTCCGACTCACCTTCTGGTAGTAACCCCTCTGTCACTGGTCTCAGACCTGTAACCTGTCTCCCTGTATGCCCACACTCAGACAGCCATTCCCGAATACAAGGGCAGGTGTTGGGGGGCTAGTCCAGCCCTCTGTTTCAACAAATACGGTGGGAGCATGGGGAGAAACGGCTCAATTGAGACTTAATTAGCAGGAATCCCAGTTTGTGGGAGGTGAGAAATCACACTTTGCTGCCTGCAAACACTTTGGCCAAGGTGAGCCACAGGGATCTCCGGGTGCCCGATTTTAATAGCATTGCAGCAGAAGACCCAGAAACGCACCCACACGAGCCCCCTGCACACACTCTCCTTCCCGCACTCCACACACATGCACACACACAAGACAGCGATCGCAAAAGCAACTCACAGGATCTCCAAATCTCGTAGCGCCCGGAAGGCTCCATCTTCAATGCAGCTGATATGGTTGTTGTCCAGTTGCCTGTGGGAAAGCAAGGGAGAGCATGAAGGCTGAGCAGGGGCAGCAGCAAGGGGCTCGGCGGCCGGCCGGCATCCCTGGCTACCGAGCGCCTGTCCCTCCACCCCTTGCAGGCTCTGCTGGTCCCCGCCAGGAGCTCCTGCAGAGGCAGCCTGTCTGCCACGCTGCTCCGTCTCTCCTCTCTGACTGTCTGAGAGAACTACACAGACGAGCGCACCAAAGGCTGTCAGGTCTCAGTAAATATTAATTGCGCATTTTTTTTTTTTTTAGGCAGAAGGGAGTAATTTCATTACATTAGGGCATCCAATCCATTACGAGCTCTTACCGTCATGTCACTGAAACAATTTCATTAAGCTAAAGGCCTGTAAATCATTGGAGGTCACTGCTCTGCCCTCCACGACCTCCCAGAATGCTTTTTCCCCCCTCTCCCTCATCTCCCTTTTACTGGAAGTTGCAGTCTTTCTGCTCTGACACAGCGCTAAATCTCAAGGCTTTATCTGCCCAAGAGCGGTGAGGGTGCATGGGGAATATACCAATTCCAAATTAGACTCAACTAATCTAATTTTATAGTCTTTTTATTATTCTAAGCACCAAATGTCTGTGGTGGTTTGATGTCTCCGTGCACTGTTATGGGGCCCATCTGGTAGGTCATTTTATTGAAGCATTTTCTGACTAAATACAGATTCCCTCAAACCACACTAACCATCATCAACATTAAAGAAATTCATTGACGAAGCATTTGCAATGGGGGAGGAAAAGGAATATCATTATTGCCTAAAAGATGCACCACTTACATTTAAATTGGGGAGAATTAAATGCACCTATTTTAGGATTCCTGTTTTATTTCCCTTTCTATACTAAGTGCATGAAAATAATGTCTTTCTAAAAGATGCCTTGACTAATACACATTCTAGTTAAGGACTGAGGTATTTTAGTTGAGGGATAACAAACAGACACCATTTTTTTCCTAAGTCAAAATATGTATATTTGATAAATAGCAAGTCAGAATATTTACCACAATTCCACCCAACTTAAAAATACTATATATAATCCATTTAATTCCTAAAACAGCAACACCAGAAAAGAACGCTACACAGAAAATGACTATTACCAACCAATGATCTATTATACTTTGCAGAGCACACCATGGTCGGGGCAGGCTGAGAGTACGGCTATACTTAAAACTCTTCCATAGACACTTACATTTTTTTCTTTTGTCTCAGAAAAAAAAAGAGACCTTTCATGTGTGTAATTTCCTATTTGTAACTTGCATTAATATATCCCAAATGAATTCTGCACAAAAGACATGTCAAAATGACATTTGATAATGCTCGCGGAGGGCTTTATTTTATTTTTTATCAAAGAAAGATAGAATTAAAACTAAAATATCATCATTGAATAAGTACATGAATGTAGAACTGTGCAAATGTATGTGAATGGAGCTCCCATGTTATGACAGGTCCTGTCGTAACATTAGGGGAATCGCATCACCCAGACAGACATTTACGGTACAAGATTTTAAATGCATGATGATGTTCAGAACTGAAAACAAACAAGTCATGGGTCTCAGAAAGCAGAAGCACCCTTGAGGGTGACCAGCTCTACACCTAGTGTTCTGAGTTCTGGCTAATGCTGTGTATGCAGACTCACTGGGTTCTATGGCCCCTAATCCTTTTGGAGCCCCTCTAAACAGGATTTTGTTGCTTTCCATGGATCTGTGCTGGGGCCGCTGCTTTCCTGCAGTGGTTCTATTAGGACAGTCTAGCCCTGCTGTCTAGCTCCTAGATTTATCATCAGTTTAAAGGCCGATGAATCAACAACTTCTGTCTCATGCCAAGGCCACCAAATCTTACCAAGCAGAAATGCAGGGGGGCTGGCTTTGGGCTCCAAGAAATTGTTCAATGAACATGCTGAATTCGGCAAAAATGCACCATCCACCTAAGTAGAAAAGTATCTAAGTCATCGAACTGGGAAGTCTGGGGTATGGAGAGATGGAATTTGTGGTAAACCTGCCTTTGAGTGTGCATCTAGAGGTTCGTGAAACTAGCACATTACTAGCGGCTTGATTTGCGAAGCATTTTTCAGCCTGATTTTTTTGAGGACACCAGAAAGCAAAGAGGGAAGATTTTAAATATACCGAAGTTTTTGTGGGAAAAATGGAGTTTGCAGAAGAAAAGAGGAAATCCGAAAAACAAGGAAAGAAAACACAACAAAATGGCAGAAAGAACTGGAAGGGTTGGAAGGGGAGATGAGAAAAGAGGTTTTCAGTATCTGCTACCTGTCATTCCATCAGGGTGCTGCGGCCCCGGTCAGGAGATAGTACGGATGAGACTTAGAGAGGACCCTGATCATTGAAGGCAAAATCAGAGAGGTCTGATGATACATTATTAATTATGTGATGTTTAAGTATTTTCAGTGGGTGGCACAAGTTGACACCTGGTTGTTTATTCACAACTGGGAAAACCAAGCTGTAATGTAAGCATCTCCATGGGGGTATTTCATAGCTTATTTTAGCACATATGAAATGTATCAAAATTTAAAATATTTATGCTCAAGTGTGCTTTCCTAGAAGACACTGATTATAACTGAGATGGAGTCCTTTCATTCTAACCACAAGTAAACCAAACAGGAACTGTATCCCAGCCTCTCTAGTCAAAGGGCCAGGCTCAAGATGTGCCATCCGTTATGAAGTCTATGAGGGTGAGCTGCCTGCGGGGGTTCATCAGGCAAATGGAAACAACAGCAGTCCCTCCACATCCCAGCCAGGGTAGCTTTGTGGTGCTGAGCTCCTGAGTATTCACAAAAAGCTTAATTAACAGTTTACAATCATTTCTGAGGTTTCACAAAAACACTCTAGGTCTTCCAAACAAAACGAATAGGTGCCTGGTTCAGACATGTTTTTTCTTTTACATTTATTTATTTATTCTCGGGGAGGATGCATGTGGAGGTCAGAGAACAACTTAAGGGAGTCAGTCTGTTCTCTCCTCCTACTATGTGGGTTCCAGGGCTCAAACTCAGGTCATCAGGCTTGGTGAGAAGGATCTTTGACCTGCTGAGCCATCTTGCCGGTCCCAGATTTCTTTCTTTCCAAAATAACAACTCAGAGACATAAAAGTCCTGAAGCACAGGACAGGCGAAGCAAAATAAATGCAAGCGTAGCACTTCTTGGATGCTGTTGGAACGGAGGGCTAATAAACACATAGAGAACCTTCCCAAGCGAGCGGAGGCCAAAACATTTGACTTAGTATGCTGGAGACTGCCAGTATGTATCTTAAGCTTTCAGGTCAAAGGTCTGTATCATGCCTTTGAAAGGACTAAATCAAATACCCTCCTAAAAACAAATGAAAAAAGCCCATCTCACACACCATTCCAAGCACTTCATCCCTCAGGGGGCACAAGCAAAAAGAACTTTGGAAATGTGAGCAGAGAAATTCAGAAGCTGAGGATCCCTGGCTCTGCTCCTATTCCTCCTTGGTGATAAGAAGTATATTTCTCCCTGCTGTTAAACCTTGTCTCTTTATGGCACCAAATAACTAGCCCTGTCTCTAATACAGTGTCAGGTAATTCACATAGGGTCACTCATGGTTGCAAAATAAATCCTACTTAAAGTATGTCAGTGTTGGGACCAAACTATCTGGAAGAAAACACCAAGTCCTAAGCCACACAGCCCTGACGGCCATCCTGTGGGTCTTGGAGTGACAATGTAGAAAGCCTTAGCATTAGTTCCCTCTAAATCTATACAGGACTCATTACCTCCCAGGCTCCCTGATACCTGAGACACAGATCCCACCCTGCCCCCACCCCGACCCATAGTAGGGATGCCCAGAGACAAATATGACAGGATTCTTTCCTAGGAAGTCTGGGAAGGCCGTGGACGGAGAAGGGAAGCTGACTCTCTTTTGTTGGAGCTAACTTATCATCCTCTACCTTACATAAAATCCTCTCGGTCTCTGAATAAGCCGAGAAGCCCTCAAATATTTCATGATATTAAATTAGCCCCTCTAATTTCCCTGGGAAGCTTGGATTTCAACAAACAATATGACTGCTAAAATGACACCACAGTCCATTGAAAAAGAAATCCTCAGACAAGAGCTAAATGCAGACTCCCTGAGAACAGTGTTCTGACTAGTGTGTTTTTATATTCTGAGAATACAAACAAGTCAGAAAGGAAAGTCAGGGTGAGTGAGTGAGGACTTGTAGTAAACTCACGCAGCCAACAAGGAGATAGCACTTTGGTGAAAATTCCTCATCCTGTCATCACAGTTGGTCTCTTTGGATTACAATTTCAAATTTTATAATTGGAGCAGGAGAGGAACATTTTCATGGTTCAAAAAAATTTACAAAGCACATGTAAATCCTTAAAAGGGAGTGGATTTTAAAAAAACCAAACAAACAAACCTGACTACAATATTAAGACCAATCCACCTTGCAACTTCAACCACAAAAGTAAGAAAAAAAGAGTAATGAAATTTCAAGACTTCAATGATGCATGTGAATCTCCATGTGAAAATATCTGAGAAACAGAAATTTCTAGACATAGGCTTTGGCTATCTGGAAGAAAAGGAAAATTCACTAGTTGTCTACATGCAAGGTCTGCATGCCAGGGATTATCCGTCCAGTTGTTCTCGGCTCCTCTCATTCTGGGGGGTGGGGGGCATCCCACATCTTGTCAGATGGATGGTTAGACTTAGCCTGAAGGCAGTGTCACTCCAGGGGCCCCAAATCGCAGCAGCAGGGATTGTGTGAAGTGGGAGAGGTGGGAGAAGGAGCCAAGACTCAGAATCCACTGGAGCTCAAACATTTGCTATATTCTGAACAAAACTAGCAACACAAATGTGCAAATTCCATGAAAGACCTCTGTAAGAAACTCACAAGGGAAGCCTTAGCAGAAACCCAAACATGTCTGTGGCTACAGAATCTAACAATTAATAAGCCCAGAACAGTCACAGCATATTAAGAGAAGTTCACACTGCATTAGGTACCCAGGATACAGAATGAACATA